AAAAAAAAAAAAAAAAAAAAAAAAAAAAAAAAAAAAAAAACACACACACACACTACTACATATACAAAATGAAACCGATAAAAGGAAAAACTTGCCTCTGGCTTTCTTGCCAATGTCAGAGTAAAGGCCCGGACCCTTTACGAACACCATTTTATCCTTGCTCTTGTTTTCCTTACCTGGAGGAATTTAGGAAGAGAAGGGAGAATTTTCTAGATAGAGAGAGTGAGCAAAAGCGGTGGTTTTGCTATTTGCTGCGCTGGCCTGGTGGTGCATATCGACTTAGTCAGCTGTACATTTGGTGAAAAAAATAGGTTTTTAGACCCTATTTTTATTGCGTTGAATTATCTGAACCGTCCATTTCTTGTGTGGAAAAACCGTTGGATTTCTCAAAGACGAGTTCCCCGAAACTTGCACAAAAGGAAAAAAAAAAATCCATTCTTTTTATTATATTTATAGAATTGGGGAAAAGAGTGCGGTCTATTAGATTAAATGCACCATAAGAGGGTGAGCTTAAGTGTCATACTGCCATTTCAAAATTAGCCTAAATGTCATACTGTCATTTCAAAATTAATTGGTGATGAGAGGAGTAGAGGAGTAGTTCACTAGACTTATATACTATGCTCATTTTCCCTATAGATTCAATGTGGGACAACTCACAAGTGATCTAATTGGTGATGAGAGGAGTACAGGAGTAGTCCACTAGACTTATATACTATGCTCATTTTCCCTATAGAATCAATATGGGACAACTCACAAGTGATATTCCAACATGCGGCCAGGTAGAAAGAGTCATCGCAGGTCCTAGGACAGCCCTGGGAGGAGTAGAGGAGTAGTCCGCTAGACTTATATACTATACTCATTTTTCCTATAGAATCAATGTGGGACAACTATATTCCAACATGCGCTCAGGTAGAGACAGTCATCGCAGGTCCTAGGACAGCCCTGAGAGGAGTAGAGGAGTAGTCCGCTAGACTTATATACTATGCTCATTTTCCCTATAGAATCAATGAGGGACAACTATATTCCAACATGCGGCCAGGTAGAGAGAGTCATCGCAGGTCCTAGGATAGGCCTAGGTAGGTCCTAGGACAGGCCCGCTCTGATAGCATATCATATTTATATCATATTTCGCAGATCTTAGGACATGCCCGCTCTGATACCATATTATATTTATAGAATTGGGGAAGAGAGTGCGGTCCCACCAGATGAAGCGCACCATAAGAGAGTAAGCCTAAGTGCATCTTAGTGAGGTTCCATCCCAAAACCAATTGGTGATGGGAGGAGTAGTCCACTAGGCTTATATACTAGGCTCATTTTCCATATAAAATCTATGTGGGACAACTCACAAGTGATATTCCAACACTTTTCGAACTAGGCTGGATTAAGCCCACAACAGTTGGTGCTGAGTTGATCGAGTTAATTTGGTATCAATTAAATGAGCCTAACTTTTTTGGGTAATTTACACGCCTCCTACGAGATATTAAAAATATTGCATTTTTACGAGCGATTTTATTTGCATTTATACCTAAACAAATGCATTTATTATCGACGAATAAAAAACATCAGTTACAAAAGTAACACTTTCCCTACAATCACGCCATTAGATTATTGAACTGAAAAAAAAAAATAATAATAATAATATATTGTCAATCTAGTGTACAATTAGGTTGACAATACAAGTAAAAAATATCCACAAAAATAAAAAAGAATACACAAGTGGATGTTTCCACTTGTGTTGTCAACCTAATTGTACAATAGGTTGACAATGTATCATTATCAACTAAAAAACCATTAATAATCAAAGTGGCTGTAACAAAAGGTTACAAATTTATAACTTTAAAAGTTGGAAAAAGTTATTTGTATAACTTTTTTGTACAACATTTAATGACAACATGATGTGACATGATGTGGGTGGTTAAGATGCAAATAAATGTATGGTTGAGATTTGAGTTAATGATACTTTTAACTAAGTTGTCAACGAATGTTGTAAACTATAATTATACATGTAGCATTGTCCTTAAAAATTTAAGATATAGTTAGAAAGGTAAACTACAATTGATGCCGGAAATTAGAGTTGTACTCATTCCTTTTTNTAATTTATAATAATTGATTATTAACTTATATTTTTTTTATATATATTTTGTTTTCTTATTTTGTCATTCGATCGATAAAAATATTTTTTAACTTCTTACTTGAATATGTAAAATTTTACTTGTGTGCATATAATTCAAATCATATAAGTGATAGTCATTATAGGGCATCGAGTTATCTATTATAAAAGTGAGTTCATTTGTTGTTTATTTGGTTATTATATATATTTTAAAAACTAATATTAGTATTTTTGCAACAAAAGAGTTGACCATTCGAGATTACAATAAAATTAAATATATGGTTAATGTGAAAAAGACATTAAAATATTATTTTATTTTGTCGTCTTTTTTCTTATACAAAAACTGAACATGATTTATTCCTTTATTTTAATAAAATTTTTCATTTTTGTTATAATCTTTATTATTTTTTTTTGTTAATATGATAAATTATTTATGATTTTTTTTATTAAAAATAATATGGACACTATTTAGGGCATGCTTGTTTATGAAATAATTCATTTCCCACTCAAAATCTAACTCAACTTTAACTCAACCCCACTATCATTTATATTATTTATATAATTAAATATTATAAACCAATCATTCTTACATATCACATCAACTTTAATTCACTATTCATCCACTCACATAATTTTAACTACCTATCATTTCCAATCATTTATATCCTACTTTTACATCAAATCATTAATAATCATTTCCAATCATTTATATCCCACTAACAATTAACCATACTATCTTTTTCAAAATTGACTCTAGTTAACTAAAATAACTCATTTTGAATGAAATATTTCATAAACAATCACGCCCTTATTCATTTGGCGTACAGCCTACAAATTTTCATGGCCAGCTCTGGTAAAATATTAAACTATATGATCGATTGGTAGAAGGATAAACTTCTTTATGTACATAACTACCACAATGATTAACAATTTGCCCTTTTAAATTAAAACGCAATATACAAAACAGAGATCATTTTTTCTCCCACATAGTTTCAAATTGGTGGTCTTTGACAAAAACCAGATTTCATAGGTTGTTTTGCATATAGAACTCCAAAAAAGGTCGGTTACTTTCCGTGGCAAAGCATTTTCATTGGCCGAGGGAGGACGAGATTCAAAACAACCTCACACCTCACTTTTACGTGAATCCAAAGAGTCGTAATCCTTACAACTCATCAATCCCATACACAACTTAAAACTAAAATAAGGTGGCATTTGCTTGATATTTACTTTACAAATCTATATTTATAATTATACACAAGCTAATTAATGCTATCAAAAAAAATTTCCCCTCATTTTTTTTTTGTTTTATAATAAAAAATGCTACATTAACAACCTAGTGTACAAATAGGTTGACAACACAAGTGAAAACATCCATTAGTATATTTTTATTTTTTTTTTTTGAATGTTTTCACTTGTGTTGTCAATATAGTTGTATACTAGGTTGACAATGTAGCATTACTTTTTTTTAGTTTAATCAGTGTAGTAAAGTTGCAACTAGATACATTTTACAACCCATTCATTCAGCAAATCAACTAAAAAATATAATTTTCATCCATTTCGCCTTTTTCTCTTTCTTTCCTCAATTTCCAAATACAATTTGGATATAAAAAATAAATCAATTCTATTATATTTATGTTGGAAAATCAATTATTGAAATTGAAATTTTACCCGCTTTTGACAGACTTTTTTATGGCTAAAGATTTAATTTGAGTTGAATTATATTGTGTAAAAAAATTATACGTTTCGAATATATACTCGTGATATATTTATCTTCTCAAAACTGATTTTCTATGAGTGAAAAATAAATGATTAGAGTTAGCATAAATGAATACGTAAAATGGTGGCTGTGGGATTCGAATGGTCAAGAATCTTATCCCACATTAGACCCTTAAATGAGATCAACTCTTTTTATTATAATAAAGAGAATTGAAGAGATCACACAATAACAAAGTTATGCACCAAGTGTTGGTGATGACTTCGGCCACACGCGCCTGCCGGCCGGCTAGGCTTGGCTCTGATCAGGCCTGGTACTTGGCACTTGGTCCTTTGCCCTTGGTCCTTGATAATTGAACTGTGAGCTGGACTCGGGTGGCCTTGGACTATTTGGGTTGGTGTTGGGCTTGGGCCTTGGGCCCAACTCTTGTAATCTTTTTTTGCTGTAAATTTATTAGCAAAATTGTGGCCCAAAATAAAACTCAAACTGAGTTGAAATTTAGACTTGAGTTTTAACCTAACCAGTGTAGACCTCTCAATTACAATTTATCTGGTCATTACAGTGCTAGCTCCACTTGACCGTTTCAAGTGGAATAGTGATATGTTAACACCTAAAAACGATATGCTTAACACCTAACCGTTTGCCTATTACAACAACCATCAGTGGGCTGTTACATGAAGACCATAGGTCATCCCCTACCGATTGGAAGTCCTATATATAAGACCTATCTAGAGCTGTAGAAATACATGCAAAACATACATATTCATTTCACTCTCTACTGAAAGACTCATGCATCATATTATATACAATGCTCAGTTTTCAACCCTGTTCGTGGTCATTGGAGCTCTAAAGCTTGATGTATTGCATCTTCCGAGCAGAATCGTCGAATATTTAGAAACAAGACGCACAAACCCGTTAGCACTATATGGATGTATTTGTCTTTCGAAAATAATTTATTCGTCTCAACTTAATCTTTCTGCATTGAAGTTGTACTTTCTTTTTAATTATTTAGTTCATTTGTAAGAATTGAACACTTCAATTCATAGATTTTTCGTGTAACTCATCACTCAGTTTGTAACAATTTACTATCCATTAACTTATATATTTATAACTACCCCATCATGATTTTTTCTATTTATTTATCATATCACAATTAAATAGTACACTTACATTAGATCATATTACATTATTAAAAGTAATCATTCTTCCATTAATTTTTACTTCTTCGGTACATTTATTGTTTGCCAAAGAAAAAGTCATTTCCAATTACCAAAAATGTTATGGAGCCATCGGATGGTTTTCTTATGGAGCCATCCACCACTTAATGTATTGACACATGTGCATATTGTATTTATTGCAGGACACGTGTCAATACAATATTGGTAAATAAGTATGGATGTCTCCATAAGTCGAGCCATCCGATGGTTTCATAGCAAAACTGTTCCAATTACACGATGGACAATGTTAGATTGTTGGTCAAATAGCTATATGGATACTGGATAGGATAGTACATTAGTACTCCGGGAAAAAGAGA